GTTGCTGTTGTTTTCTTTATTTGAACTCGCCAAAACCAAACGGAGAGAACTGTCCAGTGACAAGGGGGCGAATGGTGAGCGTATGACGCTCATCATTTACAAATCTTCCGTCTAGTCCCTCTCCGATATGATTACTATCAATACATGTATGTGCATCAAAAATATCTCGAGGCAAGCTGAGAGGGACTAGAATAATGGTTTACAGAACACTAGTACAGAGAGGGGAGTACGAGGACGAAGACGATGCATGGCTGGCGGTATCCGACATCACCATGCATCGACTAGGCGCCAGGCGCGAACTGATGGTGGTGGTGGTGGTGAGAAGGAGAGCTCTGTGCCAGAACTTTGCAGCCTAGAGAGCGTGTGTTGGCAGGCGTGTGTTTACCGCCATATTGTCAGGTGTGTCTTTACCACCATATTATCAACCATGAGTACAGCTGCAGTGGTGTCTTCGACTTCATTCTCCCGAGTCAAGCTCCGTATGAAGACATCCAAGAAGAAGATTGCCTGATGAGTCCAGCGGGGACCAAACGTACGTCGCAATCGAGCTATGTCGTTGCTGTGTCATCTTCTGTGTGCCATGCGCTACTTGATGTACCAGTTTGCTATGTCGGATACCGCCAACCATGCATCGACTAGGCGCCAGGCGCGAACTGATGGTGGTGGTGAGAAGGCGAGCTCTGTGCCATAACTTTGCAGCCTAGAGAGCGTGTGTGGGCAGTTGTGTGTTTACTGCCTTATTGCCAGGTGTGTCTTTACCACCATAATTTATCAACCAAATTGTCACGTATTTTGTAAAATTTATTCAGTATTCCCCAGAGCCTGAGGCATATCGAGAATGTCTCCAGATAATAAAGTAGTGCCCTTTCCCTGCAATCATATACCTCCTCTTTACCCCACGGGTGATTATTACAACGCTTCGGCTATTAAAAACCTCCATAGTCTCAGCAGGTTTGCAACCTTGATGAGGGAGATTTTCCCGAAGCTTTGCAACAACTGGCCTGGTCATTGAGATCCAATTGAGCCTGTCTACCCCATGCTGTACAATGTGAAAACCTAAACCTGCTAAAAATGTCAATGGCACGTGACATTCTGCTGGGTTCGATCTACCTAGGTCAATCTTGACTCTGGCGATCAGATTTCTTTGAGCAGCACTTCGTACTAATGTCAACACAATCTAGGCACAGGCGGATTATGCCGGCAGAAAAATTGGCAGAATTCGGTACTTGTTCTGGTAAGTTTCATGCATGTTTGGTATGTGGATAAAGAAATTGAGCAGAATTCAAGGAATTGTCATAAGGTTTCTATGGTTCTGCCAATTTCCCTGCTTTTCGAGCAGAATCTGCCACCTTTTCGAGTATAATCCACCGATGCCTAACACAATCATGTTCTTCTCCCTTACCACTCCAAGACATGGTCACCTGAGTTGATGCGCAGCCGACGTTGCATGGATAGTTGCGTAAGGGCGTGGAAGAATTGGAGGCTGGACGCTGGTCGGCTGTATCTGCGGGGATGCTTGTGCAGTTCCTCAGACTGGCACTGTCACCAGCTATTCTGCACGACATGCCGAGTCCTGCACAAAGAAGGATACAAAAAATATCAGATATATATAATTAGATTGAGTATAATTACATATAATTCGCGCAATGCCCGCTACTTTTTGTAGTTTGAGCACTCTGGCGCTAGAGCGACGAGCTACCTTAATGTCTGTGGTGCCTCCTTTGCACCATGGCTGGTAACTCGGCCTATTTAGCTCGTAGCTGTACTGATGAGGCCTTTATGGCCGAAACAGCTTGCTGTCTACAGCATTGGGTATCACGCTCCTCGGCTTTTGCCTTGTTGAGCACTCTCAGTAGGCTGCTCTAGTGCTGCTGCATCGCGCAATGCCCGCTACTTTTTGTAGTTTGAGCACTCTGGCGCTAGAGCGACGAGCTACCTTAATGTCTGTGGTGCCTCCTTTGCACCATGGCTGGTAACTCGGCCTATTTAGCTCGTAGCTGTACTGATGAGGCCTTTATGGCC